TACTACCTATGCTGCAGAAGACGCGTATTATGCTGCAATTCGAAGTGCAAAACAGACGTTTTATCGCATTGACTTACCTAAAATTCTAACAAATAACCCTAGAAAGTTCTGGGAAGTTATAAAGCCGCAACCGCCGCGTGAAATAACGCTTACTGACCAATATGGTGAGGAAGTTAGCGACGGTTATTGTGCCGACGTTTTTAACATCGCGTTCTGCTCTGTGTTCACAAAAGAAGCCGATTCGCCACTTCCCTCGCGACCTACTACGACGTTACCAATAATGACTCCAGTGGAATTTTTTGTTGCTGGAATTTCGTCCCTTATCGACAGACTTAAACTTTCATCATCGGCTGGCGTTGACAACATTAACTCTAAACTGTTAAAAAACGCTAAACAAATTATTGCAGTGTATTTGTCGACGCTGTTTTCATTGTCGCTTAAAACAGGAATGCTGCCAGAAGACTGGAAAGTGGGAAAGGTCATTCCGGTCCACAAATCAGGTAACAAACAGTCACCCCTAAATTGCCGCCCCATTTCACTAACCAGCGTCTCATGCAAAATCATGGAACACGTCATATACACTCACATAATAAACTTTCTGGATGCTAACAATTTCTTTCATTCTTCCCAGCATGGATTTCGTAAATCTTTATCTTGTGAAACACAACTAGCTATATTTACTCATGATTTGCACGCTAATCTTGACCGTAACTTCCAGACTGATGCAATCTTTCTAGACTTCGCTAAAGCTTTCGATAAGGTACCACACAAACGCCTGTTACTAAAACTTGCCCAGTTGAATCTGCACCCCAAAATTCTTGCATGGATTTCAGAATTTCTTGCTAACCGTTCCCAGTTTGTCAATATTAGAAATAAACTGTGCTTGAATTCTTATACATTTTTAGTTGACTTATGTTGCCTTCCTGATTTGCGCATCTGATACTTGTTTCTTTATTTTGTCTTTTTTTCTTGTGGGTTATATATGTTGTACCCACCCCCTCTGTAATGCCCTACGGGCCCTGAGGGTATTCTAATAAATAAATAAATAAATAAACATTCCAGCTCCCTCTCGGTAACATCGGGAGTCCCCCAAGGTTCCGTCCTCGGACCCCTTCTGTTTCTAATATATATTAACGATTTACCCATGCATGTATCTTCTCATATCCGCATGTTTGCCGACGATTGTGTTCTATACCGCAAAATTACTAACCCCTCTGATCAAACTGCACTTCAAAATGACCTTCATCGTGTACAGCAATGGTGCGACCTGTGGTTGATGGAGCTTAACCCCTTTAAATGCAAACTCGTTTCTTTTCAACGCCAGCATAATCCCTTGCATTTTTCTTACGTAATAGCTAACTCTACTCTTGAACAAATTAAATCCTATAAATACCTAGGCGTCACCTTATCCAGTGATCTTTCATGGCACACGCATATCACGAACGTCATATCATCAGCGAACCGAACTCTGAGTTTTTTGAAGCGTCATTTGCGTCATGCCCCACCTGACATCAAACTTCTCGCCTATAAATCTTTAATCCGAACTAAACTAGAATATGCAGCTCCCATATGGAGCCCGCACCAGGTATACTTGATAAATGAATTAGAGTCTGTGCAAAACCGCGCCACTAGGTTCATACATTCTTCATATTCATATAACATAAGCATATCATCCCTTAAACGTGAAACTGGTCTTTCGAATCTTTCAGTGCGCCGCCGCATTACCAGTCTTTGTTTCACAGCCTTTCAGCAAGTTCTTTCACAGCCCTCTTAATCAAGCACCCTACATCGTCCCACCGACGCGCATATCTCACCGCACTGCCCACGCGTTTCAAATTGCCCGTCCACATGCTCGCACTACTACTTTTTCTGCCTCTTTTTTCCCCCGAGTAGCAGTGGACTGGAATGGCCTTCCCTGTGACGTTCCAGCCATCACGTGTCCAGCAACATTTAAAGAGAAGGTCACCACGCACATTTCCATTTGAAAACCTGTGTGCATTTACCTGTAACCCACCCCTTATGTAATACCCCCTACATGGGGGTCTTTAAGGTATTAAAGTGATGTGATGTGGTGTAAATGCAGATCTTAAGTTTATGAATCACACCCACCCTGGGGCATTGTTCGAGAATCGAGTAGCTTAGCGAAAATAGGAGTGTATATATTAAACGTGAAGCCTTTCTTAGCGAACTTCGGCGACGTTAAACGTATCTATCTATCTATCTATCTATATCTATCTATCTATCTATCTATCTATCTATCTATCTATCTATCTATCTTATCTATCTATCTATCTATCTATCTATCTATCTATCTATCTATCTATCTATCTATCTATCTATCTATCTATCTATCTATCTATCTATCTATCTATCTATCTATCTATCTATCTATCTATCTATCTATCTATCTATCTATCTATCTATCTATCTATCCGCTTATGACTTTTAGCTCTCCTGGTTGTTTCGAGAATGGTTTCGAGAATGGTTTCGTATGGCATGACATAACTGCATGACGAGCAATACTGAATAGTCATAACATGAAAATTACAACATATATGTCATGAATTTCATGATTTACATTTTGAGGTCTGGCTGCGCTTGTAGTGGTTTCGTTCGCATGACATGTTGCAAAACTGGTATGGCATGACATGACTGCATGGCCCCGGAAACAACCTCGGAAAAGAGCAGCGCTTCTAGATAGGTAATACTTCACTTCAAGTTGTAAAAGACTATGTCTACTTAGGGCAGGTAATAACTGCGGATCCAAACCACGAGATTGAAGTAACTAGAAGAATAAGAATGGGGTGGAGCACACTTGGCAAGCACTCTCAAGTTTTGACAGGTAGATTGCCACTATCCCTGAAAAGAAAGGTATCTTGCCGGTACTTAGCTATAAAGCAGAAACCTGGAGACTTACAAAGAGGGTTCAGCTTAAATTGAGGACGGCGCAGTAAGCAATGGGAAGAAAAATGGTAGGTGTAACCTTAAGAGACAAGAAGAGAGCAGAGTGGATTAGGGAACAAACGGGGGTGAAGGATATCGTAGCTGAAATCAAGAAGAGGAAATGGACATGGGCCGGGCATGTAGCGCGTAGACAGGATAACCGCTGGTCAATAATGGTAACTAACTGGATTCCCAAAGAAGGTAAGCGGGTTAGGGGGAGACAGGTGGTTAGGTGGGCAGAGGAGATTAAGAAGTTTGCGGGTATTAATTGGCAGCAGCAAGCACAGGACTGGGTTAACTGGCGGAACACGGGAGAGGCCTTTGTCCTGCAGTGGACGTAGTCAGGCTGATGATGATGATAATGAGGACTGCATGGCGAACATAGGTGACAGGCCCTAACATGAAAATAATGTCATGCATGTAATGTAATATCATAATAATCATGACTACGTCATACGCTCATGGTGTGCTCGCAGTCGTTTCGCTTGCTTCACTTATGCCAAATTAGGTAATACGTGACGTGAATGAATGATGAAGGGTTGTGACTGATGTAAACATGATAATAATAACATGCGTGTCATGTTATCACTTGACTAATTTGCATGCTCATGATGTGCTGGAGGCCGTTTTGCTAGCTTCGCACATAACAAATTTTCTATTACGGGACGAGAATGGATGACAAAGGTATGTCACTGGTGCAAATATGATAATCATAGGACGCGTGTCATGTAATTACATGACTACATGCCTCACTTTTGACGTGCTCGTGGTCGTATCGCTAGCTTCACTTATACAAAATTTGGGAAATGCGCGACGTGAATGGACGACGAAAGCATGTGACTAGTGCAAACGTGATAATCATCAGACTCGTGTCATAAAACATGAATACATACCACGCTCATGATGCGCTAGCCGCCGTTTTGCTAGCTTCACATATACCAAGTTTGGTATTACAAGACGTAATGGATGACGAAAGTATATGACTGTGGCAAACGTGATAATCATGAGATTCGCATCATGCAAGAACAAGACTACATTCCACACTCAAGGCGCCAACACACTTCGACGTGACCCGGCGTGTGTTCGCACCGGCATTCGTTTTATTGCGTAACGCCGGTGATGCCATGCAGGGCTACGTTGCCTTGACGCATGCGCGTTTGAGCGCACCCGGAGTCCCTCCGTGACGAAGAAAGGCAGACGCAGTGCTGTCTGGGTGCGAAATGCCGGCACGGAATGCAGCGTGCCGAATTTCGCGCCAGGCCGCAGCGACGGACGCTGGTCGTGCCAGTCACGCCAGGCGTCATAATATGGAGTACTCGCGTTTTGCTAGCCCAGCGCAACTGGGCCCAGCGTGCGCACGCGTCAACGTTGCGTCGAAGTATATTTAGCCTTTCGTGTTGCGCTTGTGACCATTTCGCTAGCTACGCATATACCAAATTTGGTATTACGTGAATAGACGAAAGTAAATGACACTTCCAAACTTGATAACCATGGCACGCTTGTCATGTAAAACTTCACTACATGCTACGCTCATAGCACGCTCGCGAACGTTTAACTAGCTCAACATATACTAAACTTGGTATCAAGTGACGTGAATAGATGACGAAGGCAAATCACGCATCCAAGCGTGATAATCATGACGTCAAACTTATGTATGGCATAATTTACGTCCGCCTCATAACGTTTTTTTTTTAAATTTTAAAGTGACATATCAACTTTACTCATTCTTGCTTCACATATCATCGATATGCACCCTACGTGTGATCTCGAAATTTTTTAAATACTAAATTTAAGTCATTTTTAATGTTGCCAGTTATGCTTGTACTGCGAAAAATCTATTGTATTCTTGTTTACTCTTTCCTTGGTAGCGAATATTGCGCAAGTTAAAACATCGTAATGAGCAAAAAGTTTCTTTACAGTCACAGGTTCCACTGGACAAAATGTTACCTTCAGGCAATCAAAGTTTCGTTTGTCGAATCATTTCATTGTCCAAGAGGTCCTAGACAAAGGCGAATGTAACTAGCGTTCATGTGCCCATAACACTGAATATTTATTACCTGATTAGTTGTGGGCTTGCACAGCTCGCTCGAGTACGGGCCATCAGCAATGGCACAGTTGGATGGAGCTGTCTCGAATATCACCTTGTACTTCAATCCATCGACAACCTGTTGCGGGAAATCGAGGGATGGTGAAGCGTTGCCCGCTGACAATTACTATCATTTAAGCTGCACATGGGCTGAATTAATCCAACCAGCTATGGCGCATACCTACCCACTACGGCTCATGTAAAGCGGGTATGTGGACCACAATTTATTTTCAGCCTAATCAATCCACTAATGGCGAGAATCGACTTGCGAAATATTCGTCCAATAGCATTAGGCTGCCAAGTCGCAACACACTCAGATGCACACACTTAAGAAAACGCGTTTTCCACAGGAACCGAACTCAGATACTCTCGGGCAATCATGGTTTAAACGAAATATGCAACCAATACAGGCGCCCTACACATCATCAGCGAAGGCAGTCAGCGATAACAACACATCTACAGTAGTATGACATTCTGCCGCTAGAACACGCTCACGTAACGGAAAGGCACGAACACGACTCGTGCGTGTGACTTTTTTAACTGGCATAATGTCATGCCGATCCTGCTGCGGCTGCTTCATTTTGATAGAGGTGAAAATGCTATAGGCTCATGTGCTCGGATTAGCGTGCATGCTAAAGAATCCCAAGTGGTCGAAATTTACGGAGCCCTTCACAACGGAGTTTCTCATGATCATTTGGTGGTTCTGGGACGGTAAACCCCACATATCATAAATATTTCATGGAGTGCGCAATGCCGACTAGGCGAGAAGAAGTTCTCTTCATGTACATTTGCAGTACTACCATTGGATCTGAAATCAGGCCCGTTAATTGTCATTTTCCATCCTGTTTAGAGCACCAACAAATATTGTTAAACCTAGGTAGCTTCAGGACCCTAAATGATCTAATACTTCCTGCATCAGCACACCTTCAAAATTCCATGTCTCATTTGTGTCGAAATTGTACACGAGAAAATGCTCCAATCCGAATGTAGATCACGTAATAAATGCCTGTCTTCCAGTGATATATTTTTATGTCAAAACCTAGGACCGAAATTCACGGTTTCAAAAGTACATACTCAAAATCACTCCGTGTATGCCGACAGCGAGTGGGGAAATGGAACGCAAATGTATTCTACGAGGTCGTTTGGCCAACCTGGTCATAGGACTGTTGCACGGAGGCGGCGAAGAAGACAGAGTTAGGCCTGTACAACTCCTTACCATGGGTGTCGCAGTCCCGGTATGGAACTTCGGTTCATACCGCTACACTACCAGTAAAATGCGCCGCTTTTTTCTTTTTGTTTTGGTTGTCGAAAGTTTCTCAAGTTTTCTATGTGGTTTCATAATGACCGTGACTCATATTTGATTATTTATTTAGATATTTATGCTGCCCTTAATGTTTTCAGCTTTGCGCGAATTATATATTTCTTAGTTACAGCCGGTATCCAAGCAGCTCAAACATTTTTGGCTTTCATATAGAAAGGATTACTATCGATACGATTGACAATTTACTACATCAGTGTTCTTTAAGACGATTATCCATTACAATTTTTAGATGGACAAGCAACAATAAATGAGACACTATACAGTGCTCATGTTGTTATTAGCGAGATTTACTTTGTTGAGCATATGCCCAGAGGGCAGTTTGTGCTACAAGTATAAGTAGAATCAATCTTCTATCTCAATTCTGCGCAAGCCATAAAAATGAGTAGCAGTTTTGGTCATTTCTCGATGCGTGTTGCTTGCGCGTTGTCATGCAATAAAATACTTTTTGTATAATAAAGAAACGAAGCTGCACTGCACCATGTACTGAAAGTGCTACATGGTGCACAGACAAGATGTTGTCCAGAGATTATAAAGAATATCTTGAAGCACATGTTCTTATTATGTAGTTTTACGCCTTCTGAATTAGCATGTTTCACATTGCTTGTTCGTTTTCGTTACATTTGTTGTTGTATATATAAGTAGAAATTACTTCATGAGGTTACCAGTATTAGGCGTTTGGAACCATGCCAATAATAGTGCCGCAAAGGAATAAAAACAAACTGCTGCATCTAAATCAACCCGGTAGGCTATCCTTGACATAGGAAATAAGACAGTAGAGTTCACGTTGTAAGAAGCTGGTCTCAACAGGGAACTATATCGTTAATTTCAGACAAAAAAAAAACCTTGTCCTAATCTTATTGGTTCGTTTTTCGCTATTTATGTGCTTCAAACTTTCGGAACAGGGTAATTGTCATAAGAGGCTATCATATATATTTGGCGCAGGGAAGAGTTACCAACGTATTTTTGCATATAAGAAATATAAAAGACATTAGCCTTCAAATAAAAATGAAAAAAAAAACATCTCAGTAATAAAGTCGGCTGCCCATTCGATCCTATTTAAGCGTGGCTTATGGGAAGAAATAATACGTAATTGAGAAAAAAAATGTGTAATCTGTCAAGATAATTTTTTCATTAGGAAAATTATGCTTTTAATTTGGTAACTCAGTGCACTGCAGTCACACCGTGTCACAGATTCTTAGTATGGATGAATATATTGGTATGATTTTCATGAATTTAGTAATTCAGGGAACCAGTCTTTTGTATTTATCAAATGAAGTAATTTTCGAGGTACTTTTCAATACTCCCAACCAGGAATGCTTTGCCAGCTAAACTTGGAGAATATTAGTATAAAATGTCAAGGCCAGAATAGTGTAGTTGGAGCAACAGTCTCCTTTTAAGCAGCCAAAACGGAGAAATCTGGTGCGCACTTTGATCAAACAAACCAAAAAATTTCATTGACTTCTAGAGTAGTCAGAAATATCTCTCACCTGTGTCTCCACTTTCAGAAGCCTCAGGACTGTGTGGTAGTTAGTCAGACCAGTTGTCTGTTGAGCAATCGCAAAATGCGCGAGTTGCAAATACTTTGAATCACTCGACGGATTCTGCTCAGTCCAGCCACCTATAAGGCTTGCGGCGCAGTGTGTGGTGATTGCGGTTAGGAGAAAGCATACAGCCGTCCCCTTCATGTCTGAACTGGGCTGTAAGGTAAAAGAGTTTCTGAGGAACTCGTCTGAACGTCGTTAGCCGTATCTGAAGCATCAAAACATTGTCCGCTTTATTTTATAGCATGGCCTGCTCAAGGGCCCATCCACAGATGACATATTATTCTGTTTTCAGAAGCTGGTCCATGATATTGAAGAAAAATGTGCTGTGGCAGGCATATTTCACGGCGCAGAGATAAGATACTATTGTTCGTCTGGGTCACCAAGATAACGAGCTTATAGAAAAGGTTTCACGCACACATGACAGCAAACTGGATGAGCATGCTATTTTCTTTTTCTCAGTTCCGTTTTGGCTTGCGCTGTTCGGATTGATTGATAGGTGGGGTTTAACATCCCCAAATCAACGTATAAATATAAGAGACACCATAATAGAAGGCTCTGAAAATTTAGACCACCAGGGGTTTTTTAACGTGCACCCCAATAGTAGCACACATGCCTACGTATACAGCAATGTTCTCCTCGACCGAAAATGCAGCCGCCACAGCCGGGATTCGATATTGCGACCTGCGGGTCAGCAGCCGAGTACCTTAGCCACTAGACTACTGTGGAAAGGCTCGTCCTGTTCGCATACGCCTAATTCAACCGTAATGCGATAGTAATAACAAAAGTAATATCAGTTGTTTCACGTACCAAAAGAGCGAAGAGAATTCGAAGCACGCTGTATTGGGGAGCTCCTAAAATTTCGATCTTCTGTACTTCTGTGACGTGCCCGTATACATCCGAGTGCACGAGCCTATGGCCCTCTTCTCCGTAGAACTGCTATGGCCGCGTACTCTATTGAACCCATGACACTCAGGTCATCACCCCTGTGGGGTGATGACCTGAGTGTCATGGGTTCAATACAGCATGTACTACTCTGCCGTCCCAGTGGCTGCTTAGCACATGCTCTCTCAATACAAGACAACATACGTTTAGAAAGATCATCGCTTCACTCAACCAGAATATACCTCAACGTCAATCGGTTTTTTGGGACTTCATGGTGTTCACACAAGATATTGTCAATTGACACTTTGTGTGTGCATATGAAGTGCCTTGTGAATAACATCAAGCAATAGTTATTTCATCTATGATCTTTGTTTGGTAATCTATAGTCAGTCCAGTCGCCATAATTTACCATTTACAATAAAATACCACCTAAATAGCTCGAAGTAGGATAAATTTTATGTGCCAACATGTCTGGTTACGCAATGAGGAAAGCTTGACTAACTACTGCCCTAAAGGTAAGAACAAAACAAAATGAAATTTAATTAAAAGGACTTATGAATTTGCACCGATATTCCAAATCAGGTGTTACTGAATCAGGTGTTACTGGGGACTTAGGTGTTAATGAAGAAACGTCCGAGGCGTTCAATACAAGTTTAGATGCGTGTGTCCATGGGTGCGTTGTACTCTGAAGCCGACTTTTTTTTAATATCTACTCCTCAGCAAACAAAGAAAAAAAGTAGCTGTGAATTGTTTTCTGGTTACCGAATGTTTAATTACGGCAAGCGCACAGTTCATGTTAGTTTCTATGCTGTGAAACATTCTGTCCTGATTTATTTTTTAAAGAACATGTTGCGGGGCGAGTTGGTAGCGCGATCCAGGTTAAAATATTTCAGCACTATTTCTGAGAAGTAGCACTCTAATATTTTATGTAAGAATTTTTAACAGATATACCAACTGAAATTAATGTCTCAGTAGACGTTTTTTTCTCATTCAAGTACACACGTGTGATAATTTAGGCAATACGCCTTTGCGAATGCTAATAAGCGCACCTTACTCAAGCTTCTATCGGCATGCTACACGTTCTCACATGCGTGGCTTCATCTTGATACAAGTATTTTTCTTCCCAGTTATTTCGCAATAATCGAAGTCCTAATACATACACTAATGCATTGTGAGGCGTGGCATTCAAAGTGTATCCGCAACTGGTAATTAATGGAAGGATTAAGCATTAAGAACGATCACTCATAGAAAATTAAAAAAAAAACATCAAAAACTTATCCGCCTTCTGTCAAATGAAGCGCTCTTCAAGACATCTGCTTTGATAAACCACTGCCACATCGGCTTTCAGTGTTCGTTAAGAGAGCCTAGGTTTTTATATATGTATTTCCACTTATTAACTCTGTCGATAATAAAATTAAAGACGCAGATGTTTCAAGCTTTCTCTTCGTAGTATGCGAGCACTCTTTGTTCCTGTTTCTTCAGGACAGATGTACGGAACCAACTACCACTGACTTGGGAGATTTTGGCTACGCTTTCAGAATATTTATAAGCTGCAAAGTTACTCTTTATTGCGAAAGATCATAGATTCCTAAAACCATAATTGTCATTTTCGCCTTTGTCTTCAAGAATTACTATCGATAATGTTGTGAAAATTTTCATGTCTGTTTGTATTGAAAAATATGTATTGCTCGATTTTACGAATACTTAGCATTTCAATGCATACTACAAACAAATTCAGAGTTCATGTCAACCTATTTCAATGGCCGCCTATGGCTGAAAGCTCTCGTGATCACCTCCTTTCTTGGGGAGACTGAAACTACTCTTGAAAAGTAAGAGATCTTGACGGTAATGACTTTGAGGTCGTGGTATACTATTGGGAAAATTCCTGTCGCCCAGGACATCAATTTCTGACCGAAAGGTGTGACAAATACCCCTATACCACGGGCCGTATTATGCGGGTCCACACCACAAGTGATTGACAGTTTATATTGACCACAGATCAGTAAGAACAGGCAATGACAATTTGAATGTGAGGGCGTCAAGGAAACCGACGTCGCCAGTCTCGACTGGACGTCTGCAAAGGTTGTATGTTACTGTTGCAGTGGAAATCAAACCAAAGAATTCTTCATGGCCATCAAGTCCAGAACGGTACGGACGATGATAGCTGAAATAGCAGAACAAGTAGCAATCACGTTGGCCTTGCTGGACCACAAGAGGCCTACAATTTACAGCGACTCGTAATCGGTGGTCAGAGAATTCGCCAAAGCCACATTATTGTTACTGGCTTCGCGGATGTTTTGGGAGAAAAGGATCGAGCCATACACACTTGTTTGATTCTTAGTTCACATAAGATGCATTGAGGAAGCCCCGCCCAATCTCAACGAGTGAGCCCACCTAGCTCCGCAGAGGACTAGTAAACCGCGCAGCTATACAGGAGGGATGAGGGGAAGCACATGTTTCGAAAAACCGGGACCCTCCTATCTCGTATAGCGAACTGACAAAACATTTTTACCGGGCACGGAGACAATACCCACCACCACACAAAAAACTAAGCAGACCTCAGGCTCTGACACCCAGAATTCTTCAAGCAGGCGCCTGTCTTGACCCCATGCTATTGCACAAGATTTATACCAAAACACAACCAACTAATACTTGTTCGTTATGCATTGATATAGCTAACTTAGAATACATGCTCTGCAGGTGCACCGCCTTACGCTGTGGTAAAGTGATCACGCCGTCCGAATCGGAGGGTGCTATTACGAGCTTCGGGCTCGTACAGTAGTTATTAGCAGCCCAACTGACCCGCGATGCCACAGAGACATTTGGTCTTTCTATTCCAACGTTGGTGCGGCCCGCAACGCGCTGAAACGCGTTGTTATAGACCTAATAAAGTTCATCCATTCATTCATCAAGTATACTACAACCAAGCCACGCCGAAGTCTCGAAACACCAATGCAGACAGAGCTTTAGAGGCGTAAGCGTGGCGAAACGTCCGTGATGCTTGTGACGATGTCAATGTTATCTATAAACATTACGTATGTACTCCACAGTTACATGCGTTAGGTCCAGTTAGAGTTAAGTCTACTTGAGCACCATTCACGGAAGTTTCTCCACGCAGCACTATGCAGGGCTACTCCCTCACGAGTACTAGCGCTTCAAATCAGCTATCGATGTCGTGTGTTGTAATATCTATGTTGCTCTTTGCATCGTTACGCAAGCGTAAAGAACTGCTTATATAAATCAACTGCGACAGTTCATCATACTTGTCCATGCACACAAAATTTTTGGATATGCTAGCGATAAATTTGTAATGAAATGCTCAAGTTCATAATCCACCACAATCACTTTTTCTCCACCTGCTTCGCATGACATCGAGTCCCACTGTACGTATGATCTGATGATTTTTTTAAATACACTGACATATAGGGTTTTGAAGGAATTGTCTTAAAACAAAAAGATGGTCTGGGTTGCAGCCTCACTGATTACAACTGGCCGGTAATGCAGTCCATCACCAGAGCAGGATGGGCCACTACCTCTCATATGAACCAAGCAAATAACCCTTGGTCCCCAGTCCTTAGCGCCTGTGAAGCAACTGTCCAAGGAAGTGGTCAGACCTGTGACGCAGCGGATGGTGCTAAGAATTCCTAGGTCAAGAGAGGCCGCCTTTAGAATCTGAGGCTGGCTATGTTTAAGGCTAGAACACTATTTCTCATGCCCTTTCTCGTGTACATTGAGTAACACGTAACTTCGCAATAAGATAAAGCTAGAACTTTGAGGTTCATCTCATTGATGAAATTTGCCTTCGTGGTAGAAAGCGTCAACCAACTACGTTATGTAAACAAAAACGTTCTTTGCTAATAATAGCAAAATTTCTCCTGACTACTAGCAATTAGCAACACATTGTCGTTCGTGACAGCCGAGAAGTGCGTCACTGTCAACTATCCTGGCATATTTATGGATGAGAGGCGGCTGCGTGGCATGTGTGCAATAAAAATTACTTAGCTATTTTCACTATTCTCGGTGAGCGTGTGCCGTAAAAAAAGATACTGCTATATACAATTTTTCGCTCTTGTGTGTTCACTGAAATGACTAAAGGAACGAACAGAGGCCCTCGGTATCTTATTACTTCGTACTCAAAAAGTATAAAGATCTCTTAAAACTTCTCTGGAATTACCTTCAATGAAACCTACAATATTAACACGGTGACGCAAATATCTCTACAAACAATGCTGGTGAACTTTTCACTCTCGCTCCCCACTCTTTCACCTTTA